CCGGCCTGGGTGAAAGAGCAAGAATCTGTTTCAAAAAAAAAAAAAAAGTAATTCCCACCCACATTTAAGAATGACCATTTCTCCAGTTTAAACCAACTTGGGGCCTTTGCACCTGTTGTTCCATCTGCCTAGAATAGTCTCCCTTCCTGTGACTCCAGAGCTGCATCCTTCTCAGAACTCAGTTTAAATATCCCCTCCTTGAAGAGGTCCTTCCTGATCATATTCTGGGCACCCTATAGCCCACAACCTTGTTTTTTGCTTGTTTATTTGTTTTGTTTTCCTTCAAAGCTCTTATCACTATCCACAATACTTATTTATCTTACTCCCCATGAGAAAGTAAACTCCCTAACAATGGGCACCCTGTTTTGCTCACCAATATATTAATATTCCCAGAGCCTACAATAGTACCTGGCTCACGAAAAGCATGATGAATTTTCATTGGAAAATTCATTCACCTGGAAATGAAAAATGGAATATCATGGGGAATTCCTTAGACAAAGTGCAAGAAAATATTTTTTTAAATCTTTATTTGGTACGTAGCTGACACTTAAAAGAAATGTTTCCAGAAGGTGTATTTAGCTGTATAGAGTACTGTGAAGAATTCCTGAATTCAAATCCATTTGGAATCCAACCTCATTGATATTTTAACACTAATTACATACCGGCCTTTTAATGCATTAAAAAGTCTGATTCCATCTGCAGGGCCACAGATTTGGATCACATCATCTCTAGTTAATTTCAATAAATCTGCCCCTGGAATAAATATAAGAAAATGGATGATAAAGGCAAAGATTCTCTGTGTTAATGACTATTAAAATGGGCTCTATTACAAGGACACCTCATTACCAGAATGTTACAATCCATAATTTTCTTCATGGCATATAAGGCCCTTCATGACCTGGCTCCCACCACCTCTCCCATCTCAATTCCTGCCAATTAACCTCCCCATTTAACCCTATGCTTTCATCATACTGATGATGTCTAATGAACAAGCTGTTTTTTCTGCCTGAAACAACCTTCCACTATCTAAGCTGGTCACAACATGCCTGTAGTCCCAGCTACTCAAGAAGCTGAGGTAGGAGGATTGTTAGAGGCCAATCGACTGTTAGGAGTTCAAGACTGGTGTGGACAACATAGCAAGACCCCATCTCTTAAAAAAAAAAAAAATCCTGGGCCAGGTGTGGTAGCTCACGCCTGTAATCCCAGCACTTTGGGATGTCGAGGCGGGTGGATCATTGAGGTCAGGAGTTCGAGACCAGCCTGGCCAACATGGTGAGACCCTGTCTCTACTAAAAATACAAAAATTAGCCGGATGTGGTGGTAGGTGCCCGTAATCCCAGCTACTCAGGGGCTGAGGCAGGAGAATCACTTGAACCCAGGAGTTAAGAGGTTGCAGTAAGCTGAGATTGCGCCTCTGCACTCCAGCCTGGGTGACAGTGAGACTCCGTCTCAAAAAAAAAAAAAAAAAAATCCTGGATTTACCTGATGTATCACACGTGTTCCCTAACACCAGATCTTCCCACAAAGGTCTTACTGTCATTATCAG